GTGTGTGTGTGATTTCATCCAACAATTCTATAGTAAAATAATGAAACAATATCCAAAAACTATGTGAGCCATTTGTTCGACCCTAAGTTTTAAATATACACTCTTTTTATTCCAATGTAAATAAATAAATAAAAAAATAGAAACACACTATAGAAAGTGTTTTTTAGCCCAATTAACATAGACCATCCATTTTTGTAAAATAATGAGATTTAAGCCTTAGGAGGATTTTTTAGATAGCTTTATTATCATAAGATTAAAAAAATAAAAAACTATTTTGAGTTCGTAAAAGCCTAGATCTTGAAATTCATCAAATAAGAAGGTCTAGATTCAATGTTGGAGTGAAACTCATTTTTATCATCTTTAGTATGCAAATTGAATTTTATATTTTTGGGGGTTGATAATTGGGATGAAGAGAGGGTGTGTCTAATTGTTGGTGCCATAAAAAGGCCACAGACATGGTTTTCTTGTAGTGTGGTTTCCTTGTATTACTATGACATGGTGACATGAAATCTATATGAACCTCTTCAACGAGGTATTTATGTGTCAGGTATCTTCAGCCTCTTCAGAGAAATATTTATGTGTCAAGTATCTTCAGCCTCTTCAGAGAAGTATTTACGTGTCAGGTATCTTTGATTGGTCCATAGGATGTCTTGAGTTCACTTTGTTAGCATGCTGGTAATATGCTTTGTGATATTGATAAAGACAGGGTATGGCTCACAACTCGACAATGGTATAGAGGCTCACAACTCGACAATGGTATAGACACTGAGGGCATGTTTGACACGGTCTAATAATAAAGAGTCAAAGCACGGCCTTTATTCCTGAATATGCTGCAGAGATTTATGTTTCAATAACAAGAAACCTGGATACTCCTGATTGGGAACATTCATATGTTGGTATCTTTTTGGACCCCATGAATATCCTTGGTGTATAATAATAATTTAAAACCCTTCCAAATGTTATGATCCAACAAGGCCTTAAATGGATATTGTGCATTTATCATTTGATAGCAAGAACATGTCAATTCCAGAGTTTTCAAAAATGGAAGATTATGCTTCTAACTTTTCATTTGGGTAGGTCAACTGTGTCATTGCGAGATTCAAACCACGGATGTAGAGTTGCAAACTCCAACACCTAGACAATCAAGCCAATGCCCTACTCCCTTATTATGATTCCAACTCGATTTATATTGCAATCCAGTACCAATGCAGATCGTGAATTTTGAGATCCAAGCCAAATCCTTGTATAGAATCAATTATTTGTATACTTTTAGGATCCTCAGTAACCACGACCATTCCGGATTTGAGTTTTGCGATGTTTCAAGTGAAAACCTACAAATACACACACACACACATAAAAAGAAGCATTGGGGAAAAATGAAGATCAAATTAGTGTCACTCATCTTTCATTAAAAAAAGAAAGAAAAGAAACGTAACATATCCATGGGAAAAGGTAAAATCAGGTAATTGAAACATTAATCCAAGTATAATGTAGAAAGGATGATCTAAGGTTAATGTATAAGGAGAAAATCACTCACAATGTAATATATTACAATGAAGAGGAAGCCTCCAGTTCCAACCGTGATGCACATGTAGCTTAATGTGTACAGTGGCTTACTTATCGGCATGCCTAAAAAGTAATCACCAATAATTCACTTAAAAGCAAGTCAGAATAGAGCCAACTGAAGAATATACATCCCAAAATAACAGAAGCAATAACTTTGATTTCTGATAGGATGACTTACCAAGTGCCAGCAAGACAAACCCAACACCTAAAAGAGCAGAGGAAGATATAGTCCACAGGAGTATCCGTGTCATATGGCTCTAGAACACAAAAAATTGCAAAAGAAATATGTAAACATTCAGATAGATTGAAACTGTTTAAAGGGAATGCAGATGAGGTAAATAGGTCTAGATAACATAAATATGAAACTGAATACGAGGGCTGCAGTCTTCTATTGCAAAAAATAATTTCTTAATAGTCCACTGCTTTACCCTTAAACATCTACTTAATGGATGAGCTTTTAGTTATTAAATACATGCTAACTTCACGGTCTCTAGACTCATCAAGCCACTGGTCACTCTCGATTTTTATGCAGAGTTTGAAAAGCCGAAACCAGGTGCAGGCTTGAGTATGGCCCGGCGGCAGGTTGGCCTGAGTCGCCCCAAAACAGAACGAAAAAATAGCTTATAATTCTGAGAAAAAAAAATGCAAAATATGAAGAAATTAATGAAAAAAACAAAAGAAGAATATTGTGTATATGGAAGGAAAAATAGAAAACTTGATGTAGGACCAAGGGGCTTGATTCCTACATTAGTGTAATACAAAGGGTGGGCTAAAGAAGTATATGAGACAGCAGGGCTTTGCGAATATTGGGATCTCCTAGTTAGAATGGGGTTGGGGAATTTAAGGTTTAAGTAGGCTTCAACACCATGGGAGAGGAATCAACACCTTATTTGGAGTCAACACCACAATTTGGAACAAACATTTTGATTCAACTTCAATCTTTGCAACAAATCTGGTCTAGGGCCTTACATGGTATTTATGAGGTTGCACCACTTGATTTTTACCAAACTTGAATCTCAAGTAAGATAAAACCTTCATAAATTCATTACAAATTTTCATTTACCAAATATAAGGACCTAGATCCCTTTATAATTTTTAGGAAACTATGCTTTTACAAAATTAGGTAGATAATATCTTCTGAAACACTTCCAATAAAAAAGAAAAGGAAACTAACTTCATACTATGACAGTAAGATTAGAAACTTCAAACTTTCTTTATTAACTTTAGAATTCGCGATTCAAAATTTTCAGCTGCCTTTCCACCAACATTTGAGTCTCAAAACATCAGAATTACAGAAAGCGCATAGAGATAAAATATTATTGTGTGGGGTCCTTGAGTGGTCATTCATGTCACTCTATTTCAGGAAAGGGAAGCAAAAGCCCTAGGCTTTTAAAACCCTAGATGGGTTAGGGAAGAAACCCTAGGTTTCTTCTTATTATTGCTTGTGCTTGGCCTAAATTACTAATGTTTTTTTGTTCTTCAATTTTCCTCAATCAATGTGGGACTGGAAGATGATTCGAAACATTTTGAAAAAAAAATGGATTCCATTATTTCAATAGGGATTGTCTACAAAGAGACCGTTTATCTTTAGTACAAGGAGGTCACAATCATTCTTGTCCCTTAGATTTCAAAAAGGGCAGTTGTAAGAATGTCATTAATTAGACACAAAGTTCCAAAAACAAACTCCCAGACTTCGTGACTCACTTCAAGCCATTCAATTTGACATCTAATGAGTGCGAATAGTTGTGACCTCCTTGTACAAAAGGTAAATAGTTTCTTTGTACACAAATCCCATTTCAATAAAGCTCCCTCGATGATGGGTACCAACCACATTGAAAGGCGAGTTATGGCATGCTTGTTGTGGACATCCTCGTGTTAATATTAAAAAGTTCTTGACTTTTTGTTACCGGTAATAAGTGTTAGTGATGGCATGTTCGGAGTTGTAAAATGTGTTAGTATCAAAACAATGTTGGCCACCTTCTGAACAAGAGTCATGTCATAAGCCATTTGCTTTAATACATTCAGGATGTTGGACTCCAGCTCTAGTTTCTTCTATTTATGGTTCTCGTCTTTTTGTGTCTTTTAATGATGATTGTCCTACAGTTACTTGGATTTTTCTAAAGAAATTCAAGAATCAAATTTTGACAATTTTAGGCGGTATCATAAATTAATTGCCACCCACTCTGATACCAAACTAAAGATTCTTAGGTCAGGTACGGGGATAGAAATTACTAATAAATAAATGTCCAGATATCTCCAAGAAAATGGGATTCTTCATCAAACACCATCTCTTGCAATACCACAAAACAGTTTGATGTTGCAGAAAGGAATAATCAGGCAATCGAAATCATGCGTACAAAATGCAAAAGGAAGTGAAATATCACAAGCACAACAATAAAACCAAAGACAGGCTTTACAGTTTTATTTGGTTAGTGTCTCCCAAAAACAATTTGAACTGTGTTCACATCATCTCTCAGTCATACCTTAAAACCCACAAGAATGTGTCCATACTGCAGTCCTGCAAAGCATGTTACTATTGCTGAGACTGAACTGTATTTAGAGTAAAGTAAACTGAGAATCAGGAATCTCCATGCAAAATGAATTCAAATGAGTTGAAAGACAAGGCATACTCTGCTACATCACTAAATTATTAAGGGAATCAGTAAGACAATCGACATATATCATAGCCTAATGTAATGGGACGATAAATATTTTGAGACATGAGATGCAACCTATGAACCGACCAATGTTTTCTTTTATTTTTTTCTCAGTGGATAACCAAAACAGAGAAATAAATGGACAATTATGAAAACGCACAATGCGTGGTTCCTAAAAGGCAATATACATTAACACCTCAGAATAGCCATGTCCACTAGAAGAAACAGCATATCAAAGATTCAAATCTGACCCTTAATTGTCACCTCAAATATACAATTAAGAGAAACGGGAGACCTAATAGGTAAATGGTAATAGAGCATATCTGTAATTTCTCCCATGCCAAGTTGAAGCCAGAGTTTCATGAATTTTAGAATGTAGATGTTCCATTGTAGATATCCTGTTGGCTAGTCTGCAGCACTACCAATTCCTTCCTTGTATGTCAGGTATTTTTACTTAAAAAATACAGATAAAACGGAATGTTAATAAGCAGAATTCAAAAGCATTGAACACACTTTTTTATCTTTGTATTCAGAAATTAAGCGGCACTAATAGAATGTTGCATGACCACCATAATTTATTCTGAATCCTATTCAATTTATAGAAGCCAGATGTATAATTCAGCAACAATTCTCTCACACATAACAAATACACCTTCTCACAGTTAGGTTTTCATGCCCATGGAGGAGGACTGTAATTGCAAAACTCCAATCTGAATCTTTAGAGATTTTTATGGCACCTAAAATGCGTGGATTCCGATGGATTTCAACACAAACATTGAGTTTCATAATGTTTTTCACTGCTTCTCACCATATTATGAAGTTTTTCAACATTGCACAAGAACTACGAATGACATCTTCAAAGAGATCTACAAGGATTGCAAATCTCTCCATTAAAAGGGCAGTTCATAGGAAAGGTTATCCACTGCTACAGCTTTCAACACATACTGCATCATCAATTAATTATAATACCCCACTGAATTTTTAGAATGAAAGATGGTTAGGCAGTTGAATGACTGCACTTATATCTAATTGTTCTAATGCAAACATGCTCTCAGCCAATTGAAATCTGCCCAACCTAACAAACAGCTTGGAAACTCATATTACAAATCTCAGCCCACAAACATTTCTTGCCAAAACTTAATGTTATACTTCGAGCCAATGAAATATATGAAATATTTATTAGTGATAATGTTATTCCAAATTTCCATTCAGATTATAAAATATTGTTGAGAAATTCACATTTTCAACCATAAAAGCCAAAAATTTTAAAAAAGAACAGGTATTCAATTGTAGAAATGAATGTAGAAGCCATCAGGCCCCTAAATCAATATTTTATAGCACTTGTTTGCTTCTTGCATTGTACAGGACATTCATCCTTTTTTTTCTAAAGAAAACCATGTTTTAAGCTTATTAAGTTTGGAGAGTTTAAATTTACACGTATTGCATTCATTTCCTGAATTGTACGCAATTACGCATAGATGAATTCGCATTTTAGTTTGTACTATTTTCCATATAAATGACATAATAGTTTAGAGAGAAAAGATTCAGGGCCAACTCTTGTGAAACAAGAATGAGAAGTCGTCTAACAGGTTAGAAAAATCGGAACCAGAAGCTAGAACTAGCTAAAACAGAAGCAGTATCCACGGCTATCTGCACAAATAATTTACATCTAAAGATGTGTCATGCGCAATTCTGAGAGTAAAGAATTTGTCATCTAAAACATTCAACATGACACTAACCATGAACTACATGTTATGTATATGAGTTTCTTCATGGTGCAATGTAGAGATCGGCAATTACATAGGATTAAATTTAGAAAAAAGAAAATTTGTATGCTTGAAGTATTATATCAACTGGACAAACCTCAATATTCCCTCTGGGTCAAATGGAGCAAGGCACCACACAGGTGAGTTTGGTGGCAGAGGTCCATAATCAGGGGAGTTAATGCTACACTCCTTTCAACATAAAACAAAACATGCAGCATCAAAATTCAAACCCAAATATACAACCACCAACTCATTAGCAAAACACAAAAAACATTGCCCAACAACCTCCTTTCGCCGGTAAACAGGATGTTGATAGAGATGTTTCTCACCAAGAAGAAAGCGATCAATCAAGCCAACAGCATTACATGGAGGTCCAAGACTGCCCCTTACTTCACAATGAACCTGATATCATAAAAAGTATGCATAGAAGCAATAAAAAATAATAGCCAACTGATGGAAAAACAAAAAAACTCTAATCAAATCAGGCACGACACATTTCATGAAGTCACAATATGTACAGTGCAATCAAATCAGGCATGACACATTTCAAGAAGTCACAATATGTACAGTGCAAAATTTAAGCAATATAATCACTTATGGGAAATTTATAAACATACACCCATGAGAGATACACTATTTAACACTTTACCACTCTTATTTGATTTTTCAGGAAAATAGAGAGATCGAGGAAGATGCCGCACATAGAATTAGAGCTGGGTGGGTGAAGTGGTGATGTGCAACTAGAATTTTATGCGATCGTGCATACCAATGAGGCTGACGGGCAAGTATTATAGGACAATGGTGAAACCAGCTTTGCTCTATGGGGCGAAATGTTGGGTGGACAAAAAAAAATATACCCATAGATTGAATATAGCGGAGATGAGAATGTTGAGATGGATGAGTGGCAAGACAAGAAAGGATAGAATTCAAAATTAATCTATTCGAGAGAATTTAAGCGTGGCACCAATAGGCGATATAAAATGAGACAAAATAGACTTAGGTGGGTTGGTCATGAGTGGCACCGGCCAAATACAAACACCTGTTAGGAGGTGCGAGTTAGTTCAAGTGGAATGACCAAAAAGGGCAAGGGGTAGGCCCAAAATAAAGTGGTTGGAAGTAGTTCGAAAAGATATGGGGACTTCTGGCCCCACGAATGATATGGCCTTTAATAGAGCAGAATGGAGAACCAGGATTCATGTAGCCGACCCCAATTAATTGGGAAAAGCTAAAATGATGATGATGATAATGATGATGATGATTTTATTTTATTTTAAAATACCCAAGCAAAGACACATGATCATGAGTTGAAATAGTTATAAATGTGTTAAGTGTTAAATATTGTACCTCTCATGGAATTTGATAATTCCCCATTTTCATTATACTTTAGGAACACATAATTTCATATTACAACTGTCCAAGATGTAAGCTGCAAGAGTGAATAGGACATCACAACTCACAATAGTTTCAGATTTATAGTTGGAACTGAACATATTAGAATGCATGCCAGGCACCTCAAACTCCCAATTGGAAACATAAAGCCCATACAACAATCCCGCATAGAGTGAACACAGTAAGACAGCAACCAACCTTCACATTAAGGAAAAATTTAGCACTGTAAGCTTCAAGCGAAATGATAATTCTCCAATGGCATGCTCTTAGTCAAACTTCATTAACAAAAATAAGAGTTGAAGAGTCTCAAGTAGGATATTGAGAAATTTCCGTTTTCTATAATTATCAGGTTATTGGTAATATTATTCACCATTAATTTGGTTCAATGATGATTGTTTACTTAAACTTAAGAAAATACACAAGTTGTGATTTCTTCTTAAGTAAACAATGGAGCTCCAATAAAATGTACATCAGCCCACCATGAATCAATCCGAACTAAAGGTATGTAAAGTAGGCATCGGAAAAAACATTGAAGAATTCAATCCTAACGATCAGAGGGGTAATAGGATCACTGGCAGAGTTTATGTTGAGAGCCCATCGCAATGGTGCCTGCTATTGATTAACAAAAGAAAAAAAGAGAAAAGAAAGCAACCACTTAGGGATAATAGCATATGAAAGCAACTAATGTAAGCCATAGGTTAGAAGAGCAAGGCAGCACAACATATACTCTTGATCTGGAAATCCATGACTAAAACTATACTGAATCTAGAAGGGTCGTGTTGCATGGTGTCCTTTGTTAGGGCAGAACCTCAGGATCATAATATATTAATATGAATCTTCCTGGATAATCTGGAGTTCCTATAGCTTCATTAGGTGCTGGTTAATAAGCCTAGTGGAAGTAGGACAATTCAATTGCATCTCATTCAAGTCATTTCTCAGAGAGGTCTCTAAGGTGAAGTGGCTCAGAGATTTAATTGACACACATGTGCATGTGTTTGAGGGCTGCTTAAAAAGACATGCTGTTAAGCTAAGACAAAATGACATGATCCTCATGCTCCCATACCTGAATTGTGAATCAGTAATGCAACAGTTAATGCCAAATATGACAAAAGAAGATTATTGCAACAGATAATATCAACACGATTTCTATATTTAAGGTCAATTTTATAGCATTAAGCCACAATTGAACGGTAATTCACCCATCACATAGGCAATACAAATATTGTAGAAGTAATGTACTAGAGATCAAGAAAATCGAGTTTCCAAAGTCAATTGATTCACCGGAAACACGAAAAAGAAAAGAGAGTTACTAACCATTCCATGAAGTACTTCTTTACAAATCCCAATGCCGATTCCGCTCGAACGTTTCCCACAAGCCAGATTTCACATATTGCAGCCAAGAAATAGCCAATGGAAATCCTCTACAAAATATGATAGACTGTGCATCACTACCATAGTTCTGTGTCCAGGGAACTCATAAAAATTCTTAGTTATGTAAAGAGCAGAATTTGTTATTTCTGATTGGTACATAAAAAACTGCACATTTAACACTTTGCGTGTTATTTCTGATTGGTACATAAAAAACTGCACATTTAACACTTCTTACATAATAAAGGTTAACATACTAAAAAAAAAACACTTCTTACATAATAATAGATGTGTTTCAATAGGTCAATAGCCCATCATGTGGTATTTCCAAACAATCATCCAGCAGGCCACATGCATAATAGACAACTTTCAATGCAACCAAAATCGAACTTTAACTATACAAAAGACATGCCATTCAATAAGTTTAAACATTGTCAATGCTCATAACAATTTTGATCTTTCTTGTTGGGTTGTAAAATTAGGTTAGACAAAAAGAAATAAACACCTGAAGAACCAGTTAAATATATGTTTCCACAAAGAATTAAAAGTTATACCTTATGTATAACAACAGAGCTATGGTGAAGAAACTTTATTTGTGATGATAGAGAACAAGTACAACCAAGCAGCCACATCCATTCCCAAAGCAAAAGCCAGCTCCCAAATGAAGTCCAGCATTTCCTCAAATATATAGTTGTAAGAATGCCAATGTTGCTCTTTGAGCCAATAGTAGACTACCAGGCTACAAGTCATCTCAAGACAAGCCATGACTCTCTGTAGTCAAAAGCCCCCAAATGGACACATGAGCTTCAGCATGGAGGCATTCCAGGAGAATACCACCAAGATCAGGGTTGGTTCAGGCAGCAACTCTAGGCACCTGCCTAGACCACCGCTCAATGCTCAGCTGTGCATATAGACCATGCAGACCTCAAAGAACTCCTGGTCTCCTAATTGTATTGAGTCTTTTGATTACTATGCTGTGGTCTTAAATCCATTTTACCACAACAAGGATCACCTCTCAAAGACTGAAATCAGCATGCCTCTAAAGAATTACCTCTTCTTTCCCTAATCACCAACATAAACCCTATTGAAGTTATTTTTTAAAGCTTATACAAATGAGAAAGTGTTCCCTTGGATTAAGTAGAGGCAAAGTTTGCCTGTTATTTTGCACCCAGTTTTCCTGACTTAGAAACACACACGGCAGCACATAAATTTACAAACATACACCATATCAAGTTGGGTCACCCTTATCTTAAAACATTCCTTCTTGTGGCTCGATTTCTTCTAATGTCTTAGTCTCTAACATTAACTTCACCTGCACCATTCAAGCCCCCTTTCAATGGCCTGGCACCTATCACCCTTTTGAGTTCTGAAAACATCATTATCCAAATAAGTTTTCATTTCAAAGACGAAATCATCATCTATGTAACTTCTGTATAGAAGATAGGTGAATAGATAATAATAAGAAACAACTCGTCATTAGAAGAACTGGAAATGACTTCTCATGAGGCATCATAAGTTTAGGATTTTCAGATCAGTTCCCATAGCCATGCAGACCTACTTCACGTAACTTGTATAACATCATACAATATCAAACCAAGTCAAATCCACTTGCTTCAATGAGTTGTGAACTTTGAACTCGTGATGCAAAACATAACTGCAACATGTATAAAAAATAATCAAGGATATCTATGCTACCACCATCATTTAACAAAGAAAACAAATTACATATATGAAAAATCGACTATGGGAAAAGAAACAAAGAAGTTTTGCTGATGAAGTGTAACAGAATAGAGTCATTTTTTCTCTTAAACTAAGTCACACAAACCAGATCCATAGGCAAACAACATTCAATTGGTTCATCACAAGATTACATGCTACCTGTAGCACACCAAGCCACCGTATCTGTTGCAAGTCAACTCCGTAAGTTAGGTCATTGAGCCCGTGAAAGTATCCTCCTATGATCAAGGAATCAATATCAGTGAAGGATTTGAAGCTTTTATAAACATATTATATAATTTCTTACAAATTCTCTTTTATTAAATCTCCAATAGGAAAGAACGAGCCATCATGGGTGAAAAGTTTTAGTCCTCAAGCCATGTATAGAAACTCCGGTCATTAAAAATTCTTGCAAATGAAGTAGCAACATCATAAGTAATGTAAGCTTATAAAAAGATTCATCACAAATCTCATTCCAGGAGGAAGAGGCGCACACCTTGCAGAATCACACCCAACAAGAAAAGCTTAATGGTTCTTATTAAGACCTTCCGTGTGGCTGCTAATTTAGCAGGCATTTTCTGCAAGAAATTGAAAATGATATTGTTGTCACTGTTTCAACGTACATCATGATATTAGTTTCCATGAAGTAAATCGTAATTAAAGCTTGAAGTAGAATTAAGTCTTAAATATAAGATGAAACTTGTTATCTTGCTTTATTTTTTTCAGATCAAGAGAACAAATCTCAAGATTCAGACCATGTGGCATCATGTATTACAAGCACATTCGCCATAAGCATGAGAACTAGTATTATAACCACCTTGGATAAATATTAGAATCATACAAAAAAGCCCAAAAACCTAGCCTAAGCTAAACTAAAAACTCAGGAACCTCATGGAACATACAAATACGAGATTATAGTACATACATGATCCTACAATAAAATTAACTGAGGTCGGACACCAACCTGAAAGTAACAAACACGGGAAGTATTGCAATAGAATAATAAGAAACAGTACTTGTAAGCATAAGACCACATTCAGAAAATACCGTGGACATCAATCAAGTCATACATGCAAGCATTCTTGGAGCCAGTAGTAGAGAGACAGGAAGGTGAATTTGTGGCCACAAAGGTGTTCTACGGGCTGTATTACTTTTTCAGTCCTAATTAGTTCTTCATGAATTTTTCTACTAAATAACAAAAAAAACACTTCAATCCCACAGTATGTTGAACAAAAAATCTTTCAAATAGATAACAGTGCAAACTATTTAAAGAGTACTATTAGTTTCATACTATAGGCTATGTATACTATTTAAAGAGTACTGTTAGTTTCATACTATAGGCTACAAGTTCTAGCTGCCCCAATGGTTCGAACTTTGAAGCTCAAAACGCTTATTTTCAAAGAAAATGAGAATTATGTTTGAAAAAACTGCAACTTCAAAATAAAATAAATGTAAGGAGATATATGTAAGGAAGTACCTTGAATACCAACCCGATTGAAACACCAACAATAAAGAGGAAAAATGGCATCACAAAGTCAGCAAGTGTCACACCAAACCAGGGGGAGTGATTGATAGAAGGAAAAGTTCCTCCAGCATCGTCAACTAATATCATAAGCTGTTAAAGAAACCCCATCATCATAAAGCCATTATGCGAAAACCAAACAGAACTATATGGCAACTATGCTGACATTTCCTAATACATGCATCTCATGAAATCCATAGGACTCCCAAAGACCCAAAAAAAAAAGGGAAAGAAAGTCAGCTCTTCAGGATATGCACCATAAATATTTAAAATCAAAACCAACATATTGCCATTTTCCATTTTGAGGTTATGAGACAAATCGAGGTGAGACTTCTAAATTGTTATAAACATCCATCTAAATCAAAAGGAATTATTATGTGCCCAGAGTCTACTTTGAAGGTACAAAGTCCGTTTGGGTTATCGTTGTCAGGATGATAGAAAAGGCAATTAATACAAAGAAGCTCCCTTCATTCAGAGAACAGCACAGTTTGATTTGTTCACTTTGATTTTTTTAGTCTTGCCACATGTACAATGCATCGCTATTTTACTTTTTCTTTTATGCATAGTATTGATATTATTCAGACCACAAAGACCATTGAACTGACAAGAAGGCAAATCTGGTCTTGTTTTCTTCAGTTCCCATTGCCAGTGATCTCTATTAGGAAACTAATACAACTTTTCGCAATCAACCTCAAATTCTCAAATGACTAAGAAAATGATAGCATGAAACATTTCCCCATAAAAGATAGGCCACACTTGAGTTTCCTGTAATGTCTAAGAAAATCACAATACTCTATGCTCATCAAGCTAAAAACGTATTAACCCTAACTAATCCTCCGAACCCAACCCCCAACTGTAATTCCACTCCAAGGAAGAAACAAGTCCATTTCCCATGCGTACAAACAACGTCTCCATAAATACCATTCAAATCAAAACAAACTCAATTCTCAACCCTAGAGTACAAACTTTGGAACTTCCACATACAATCGGAAATCCAATTTAACAAGAAAGAACAATGTAGAATAGAGGAAACTCGGAGGACTTACAGCGACTGTAAGGCCTCTGAAAACATCAACAGAGGCAATCCTTCGATTTGAGTTTTCTTTTTCTCTCTCCTCAGTAGAAGCTTCAGGTTCTATCTCATGGTGCGGAGAAGTAGAAGAAGACGAGAATTGATGTTCAAGTAACAGAGGGTTTCGGTCATGAACAGGCCCTATAACGGAAGCCATACCTCCGAGGGTACTGATTCAGCAGAAAGCCCTAATCAGCTGCCTCTGCAATGGAGAGTTGCAGAAAAGGGAGCTCGTATAAATTTGGAGCGAGAAAATTGGGGTTGACATTTGGGTGATTCGGAAGATCGGGAAACTGAACAGAAAGAGCGTGGGAAAAAGATAATAAATTCAAAAAGAAGGTTCACGCAAGAAAAGCACAAACCAGTATGCTTCCGCGGGATCGCACTGTTGCTGCTTGCAATGAGTCGTTTAAGGCTTCGTTTTTGTTTTTTTGTTTTTTTTTTTAATGGGTTGATCACTGGGAATGCAGCCCTACCCGTTTTTATAAATAATTAGTGATTTTTTAATACTTTAAATGAAAACCTAGACGGATAGTTGAGGCTCAAATGGTGCTAACAGACCTCAACTCCATTCCCACTTGGGCCTTGTTTGGACATAACAATAATCGCTCATATCCTTTCTTTTGAGGTGAGGTTATTATAAGGTGCCCGTCTTATAATATAAGAGCAAAGCCGCACATTTAAATTTTGTTGGAAGATATAATTCTAGTGTTAGAAACTTTATAATGACTTGAAAATCCATATTTATCTTAATTATGAAATTTAAAATTAAAAAAATAGGACAGATCAAATAGACATATAACCAAATAAAAATCTTGAAAATAATTTTATCATAATATATAAAATATGTTAAACGATATACAAAATATGTTAAACAATATATAAAATAATTTTTTAATTTTTTATTTTCTAGGCTTGGGTCTAAGTCGGGACTAAGTCCACCGAACCCGATCCATTCCCAACCCTGGTGATTTTTAGGTTTCTCATCGGTGCAATAGTTATTTTGGAGTTATTGGAGAAAATGATACTTGTAAAAACGCAAGAAAGTCCTCCCAAACATAACGTAATATGCTCATTTTTAGTACTGTGATCACGATCCGTCTGTCATTGATCCACAGCCAGTAATGAACGCTAGACATGTAGAGAAAAGAGAGCTGAACTCCCTATTATCCATTAGATGTCAAATTGGATGGTTTAGGATGAATCACGAAATCCAATACATATTTTTTTGGAGCTTTGTATGTATTCAATAACAATCTTACAACCACTTATTTTGAATTTTAAGGAACAACAATGATTATGACTATAAAAATAAATAATCGATTTGTAAACGATTGTACTTGAGAAATACGATTTCTTGAAAAAATAATGTGGTGAGATTTAATATGATTCTCTTTGTAGACAATGGCACTTGGTCTCATTACTTAGATAAGGGCAATGATTTCATGCAATAGTTGCATCATAGTATAATGTAACAACACTTCTAGAAATCCATTTGTGGTATTTGTATGACTTAAAATTTTGTACACACTCTTTTCATCTTAATAATCAATCCAACAAAAAAAAAATTCAATTTGAAACATGGGTCACCTCCAAAAACAAATCTAGACCATTCATTTGGTGAATTTTAAAATCTTAGCCTTTATAAACTCAAAATCATTGTTTTGTTTTTTTAACATCGTTTATCTAATAATAATAAAGCCATCAAAAAATTTGGAAATAAAAAAAATATTTCTAAAGCCTAGATCCAAGTATCTCATCAAAATGAACGGCCTATATTAATTGGGCTAAAAAAATACTTTTTAGGTTGTGTTTTTAAATTTTTCTGTTTTATGATTGTTCATTAAAATGAAAAAAATGTATATTTCAAATTTTGAATCAAACAAATAGCCATAACATCATTTTTAAAAATTATTATATTATATTATGATGCAACTGTTGCATAAAATCACTGCCCTTTGGTCTAAGTATTTAAGAACTTAAAATCCTAAGAACTCAAAGTCCTGTTTTAGTTGTTTTAAAACCTAACAATCTTCTTCTTCTTCTGTTTTTTATTTTTTTATTTTTTGTGTGAAAAGAGTTATCTAAATTTTGTTGAGAATATCCTTAGGCAGATACCAAAATTCTAGATTGATGTAAATTTTGAAATTTTTTTTTTTAAAAGTCCCACAAGAGTACGGCATACACGAATGGAGAAGTAATGAACACCGGACAGAGGTGATTCCAACGTGTGGAAAAAGTTTATATAAGGTTGCAACCTCATTCGATAGAGAGAGTCCGCACCTTGGCTCATGCGTGCGGCTGTGTTTGAATCTAGGGAGAAATACAGTAGATAAAGATCAAAGGAAAATAAGAGAGAGAAATTAGAGAGGGCCCCTTTGAAAATGTGAAAAGATTTCGGAGAGATAAACAAGAAAATAAGAAAGAGAGAGATTAGCCGGGGTACTTTAATTGAGGTCTCTTAATAGTCCGATACCTATTTCCTTTTCTGCCATAATCAATGGCGAAAAACTTCACCAATACGGCGAGCGCCATGATTTTGAGTTCTGAAAATCACCCAAAGCTCTTGGCCTCAGTAGACATGGGCTCCAATTCCTTCAAGATGGTCCTGGTTAGAGCTGAACCCAGTGGCCGATTCCTTCGAATTGATCGCCATAAAGAACCAGTAAGTCTTGGGCGCTATAGGCTCTGTGATGGCTCTCTTGGACCTGGACCAGAGGCCAAAACCATTGAAGCCTTGAACAATTTCATGGGCCTTGCGAAGAATTACAGTGCCCAAGTGAGCGTTGTTGCGACAGCGGCCATTAGAGAAGCTATTAACAGAGAAGCTTTCTTGAGAAACGTAGAGGAGAAAACTGGAGTAAGAATCAGCCTTTTATCAGGTGAGGAGGAGGCAAGATTAATCTATCTTGGGGTGCTTCAATTTCTCCCACTCTATAAACAGACAATTCTCACCGTTGATATTGGAGGTGGGTCAACTGAATTTGTGGTTGGGTGTCAAGGAAAAGTGCTTTTTGCCACTTCTCTGAAGCTTGGGCACATTGATTTAACAGAAACCTTCATAAAAAATGAGAATTCAATTGAGCCGAGTGAGAAAGTGGAGATTGCGAATTCAATTGGGTTGAGAGAGAAAGATGAAATTGGGAAATCAATTGGGTTGAGAGAGACAGTAGGGCTTGGGAATTCAATTGGTTTAAGAGAAAAAAAAGAAATCGGGAATTTAAGTGGGCTGAGAGATAAAGTCAAGAATTTGAGGCAGCAAGTGCGTCTGGTTCTCCAGGGATCTCCTTTGGTTAAGTTTGTTGAGAATTCCAAGATCGAGAGAGTGGTCGGAACCTCGGGTACAATAAAAGCAATTGCGAAGGCAATCTACAGAAGCCATGCCTGTAATTTCCCACTTTTTGAGGAATCTGAGCAATGGGGATTCGGTAAAAGAGAGTTGGGTTCCATCATTGAGAAACTTTGCAGTGGACAAGAAGATGCTCTAGCCCTTGGGTTCTCTTTGAAGCGTTCTGAATCAATCCTTGCCGGTTCAGTATTGCTCTTAGAAATATTTGAAGTTCTTGGTATTCATGAAATGGAGGTATCTCCTTATGCGCTTGGAGAAGGTGTGATTGCCGAGAGCTTGGCAAGTACTTGCTTGAATTATGATGTAAATGCCAATATCAGGTGGCATTCAGTTATGAGGCTTGCGTATAGATTTAATGGAAAGAAGAGGATGAGGACTGCTATAATTTGTTCAGGTCTGGCTAAGGTAAATATACATGAATATTTTCTTTATTCCTTTTACGAGGCCGTTTAACTGTTAATTTTTTTATACACAAATAGCATACTTAAAAGTTTTTAACTATCTGCTTTATGGTAGACAATTTAGAATGCTCCTGGAGTTTTGATGTAATCTGCTCATTGAGTAAATGCATTTCAAAGATCAGAAATACAAATCGGATGCATGTTTCTTAGCTGGTGGCTAAGCTCTGATTGCTGGATGCTGCCGTTTTGGCAATAACCACTTAGAGCAGGGGATGAACTCCAAAAAGCTATGTAAATATGAGTTAAAGTTTGCCATTATCAATATGGAACTAACGAAAGTATAGTAATTCCAGCAAACATAAAGAAAGATGGTCGAGAATGGTTCACCTTATTAGGATGTGAATCCAACATAAAATCCATGGGATCAATGGTCATTAAATGAGTTGAACTGATATTCTGGAAATTTACAAAAGATCCTTTGTTCTTTACATGTTATGAGGCATGATATCCAATCTGGGGAGGATTTCATCAAATGGAGGGGCTGAAAGTGTATGTTGTCCTTGTTTTAGTGCGCTTTAAGAAGTGAGAAGGTTGATGAGTGAGGTAGATTTTTAGGTGAACTGGAGGTGTTTATTCCATGAGCATAAGTGGATAGAAGAATAGAAGTGGATACTGTAGGTTGCTGCTCACTTTCTAATAGTCCCTTGTCAAGATCTCATTTATAAAAGTAGTTCTCTTTGTGGAATTGTTTGTGTGGTCACAAAAGAAATGCTTTCAGTGTTTTGACTTGTACCCTTGAAGCTTATCTTACTTCTATCTTTTCTTCTGTTGCAGGAGATTTTTGAAGGCCTAAAGACTTGTTATGAAATGAGTGACACTTATCAGACTAGATCTGTTTATTGCTTTGATGGTAAAGATTATGAATATCTTGAAGCCGCAATCTTGCTTCATGGTATTGGACATTTTATTGGCAAAAAAGGTTATCATAAACATTCCTACAGGTTGATCAAGGTGCATTCTGCCATTCAAAATGATTGCAACTTACTTTCTAGCTCCATCCCATTAAGTACTCGTTAACTGGTTTTCTTCACTCTCTGTTTAAAAGACCCCATTTTTATTATGGGGAAATGATTGTTTTTCCTTTGAGTTAGAAATTTGTTCTCTATAAGACGTTTACTTTTTAAATTAGCAATTTTCTTTCCATATCATTAATTATTGTGCTCACTATATCCTATATGTTTTACAGAACAGTAAGCACCTATACGGATACAACTCTGAAGAAAGAGAGGTATGTAGGTTTCCCAAGCCTTAAACATTCATATGGTGTTTTTTACACTTTTATTTTACAGAATTTCATATTCACAGTCCCTTTCCATGTTCGTACTTTATGGTATTCTGTTTAAAATTCTCATGGTTCATAAATTGGCAGATGATTGCACTACTAGCTAGATATCACAGGAAGAAGTATCCAAGATATGGACAATCTTTGCTTGAGCCATTTCCAAGAGAGGTGCCTTCCTATCTATGTATTAACTTATAGATCACATACATCTTTGAATACATTACAAGACACATATACCATAATCCATAGGAATATGGTTTACAATTTTTCAAGAACATCGTATGTGAGTCCCTGATAATGGGCACTGGAGATCAGTTACAGTAACGCCCACCAGGACGTTCACTCCCGTACAATTAATTTCCACATTTTATGGAGTAGAGATGGTGGATGTCCCTTTGGAATACCTTATATGATACTCCATTAGTTTATAGCATACATTTCCTATCATACTTGTAGTCTTAAGTATTATCTTGCATTGTAGCTTAAGAGCACAGTATGGGAACTTGTGTGTCCTTTTGTCATGTTCTCATATAGTTCTATTCTTGGGGCAATAACACCTGTTAAATATGCAAGCATACCTTGAGAAGTTATTCCCAATCCAGCCGGGTACATTTATGCAACTTTTTGTGTACTTTTAGGTGTAGGCAAGCTAATAAAGGTACCACTTCTTCTATTTTATGTAGTTCTTTGATAGTTATACTCTTTGGGCGTGTTTGGGTGTTGTTTGGGCGTGTTTGGGTGTTGTATAAGTCGCTAATAGTGCCACTTTATGTGCTGGGCCTGATATCCACTATATGTCAGCCCCACTTATAATGCAATAGCCGCTTTTGGGCATAACTGCTTAAAGACTGGAGGGGTGTTTTACACTTATTGCAGAGTAGAGTGGTTAGGTTTGCCAACATTATTTGCCAAACACAAAGGTGCCCTTCAATATTGCATCATGTTTCTTGTGCAGGTACAGCTGAAGATAGGAGTCCTTTGTGCTATAATTCGGATCTCTCTTGCTCTACAGAGGTGCCAGTTTTTGGTCATTAGGGGAATAGAAATTAGCAAGTCTCATGAAGGTTACCAACTTGTAAGTACTTAATGTCAATTCCTACTTTTGCTTTCTTTATCTCACGGGAACGAGAATGGATTTCTTGTCAACAGTTTTGTCTTAAGCAACTTCTGTAATCTAGTGAAGCCGTATTGATTACTATGAGCTAGAGGATACTAGTTATGTGATGCCTATTTTATTCTCTTATCGAACCATCATGGATGCATCGAACTAGGCAAGTGATTACGACAATTTGTTTGCCAAAGGACTATTATGTCCCTCTAACAATTTGTTTGCCAAAGGATTATTATATCCCTCTAACTTGAGTATGCTTCTCAAAGTTATTGCCATGAATGTCAATCCCAATGCCATGGATGATGGATGGTACATGCAGGCAGCTATACTAATGCACATGTTGACGTATTTATGTCTTTATGGATCTGTGTGCTCATCTATGGTTTCCTCGTAGTTATGCATTGGTAAAACTATGTAAGACATGCGGGCATAGATAAGCTGTATATGCATGCTTGTGTACATCTGCATATCTATTATTATACATTCACCTTGGGTTTTTGTGTGTTCTGTAACCATATTCAGGCAAAGCCAACCATTATGCCTTTGTTGCTTTTCTACAGATCCTCAGATTGGGTGAGGAAAACTCGCAATCCTCCGAGATCTTCCAAATGATATCCACAGAACTTGAACCAGAATTGCAACATTTCAGCAAGGTAAATACCATTGTAGGAAAAATCGGGCGGTTCAAATTCTAACTGCCTGGTTAGATCGGAACCGACCATTCTGGTCGTTGGCCGGTTCTGGATTCGGCCGGTTTTGGTGAACCAGCGGGGTATTTTTAACAAAATTTAAAAAATTATATAAAATCCCAAAAATAAGGGATTTTGCTTGTAATGCATTTTTTAATGTTTTTCATCATTTTGGCAAAGATTGGAAATTGTTTTAGCCATTAGTACTATTTTTTACATTTTCCATTTTTAGAAACTTTCAAAAATACCCTTGTGCAAAAATCGATTATGTAAGATCTATTTTTTTTTTTTATTAATTTTCAATTTCATTTGGATGTACTTTGTTTAATCATACTTTAAATATCATTTTTCATATTTTATTAATTTTTTTGTATTTTCATTTTTTTTTTTTTAACATTTTTTTGACTGCTTGGGACTTGTCTGGTTAGACCAGTTGAACCGGCCACTTTATCGGTTAGTACCTAGTAACCGCTTCTGGCCCCATGTCCAGTTAAACATTCCAGTTCGATTTTTCCTATACTAGAAAAGACATAAACTAGTTATTTGTAGAAAGAGAGAAAGAAAGAGGGAGAGAATTTTGCATCTTGTTCTTAACTTTACATCTCATCGTTGCCTCCGTTTTTCTTTTATGGCATGCAGGTGTTAACCCAGAAGATATGTATAGTAGTTTCTCAATGAACTTGGCTGTGACAAACCTGATTCCTAGTGACCCCTATGATGGGTGAAGCTGAGTTGTATATTTACAGTCATGAGGCTCCATAAGAGAATCAGAAATGAACATTAATGATTTCGCAGAAAAGCGCAAAAACGTTATAGATATAGATGAAACCTGAAAAGTTGTAGAAGGGGACGAAACCCCATTAAATATTTAGGTTGTGCTGAATGAAGAGCACATTTTCACGCCAATAAAATGTGCGGAGAGAAGTGTGTCATTGATGGAAGGCTTTGATTCTAGGCCCTATCAAATAGTTTATTCATGTAAATGCCTTGAGCAGGCTACGAAGCATGTGTCATTGTACTTGTACCTAAATGAAAATCAAATGAAGGCGCTCTTACCCTGAAAATGTTTTCTACTGAAAAGAAAAAGGAGAGAAGGAAAAACTTAGTTCAATAACTTTTCTTTTTTTAATAGTTTTTCTTATACTCCATGCTATGCTTATTCACTCATAGGCATCTCTCTCTCACACACCTATTTTTCTCTTAATTTATCTTTTATTATTTTATTTAGATTATTATGATATTAGGTTAAAGGATGTTTAAAAACCCATAGGGCACACAAGTGTAGGAAAAATCAAACCAGAACGGTTAACCGAACATGAAGCTGGAAGCGGTTCAACGAGCCTAATTAGTGAACCGGACGGTTCAACTGGCCTAATCGGCA